AACGATAAGTGATTCTATTTCGTCTCCTAATAGAGACACACTCGAAATGTGTCGAGACACCAGGCAACAACTGTCGTTAAGCTTTGCCTCCCGATGATCATGAAAGGTTGACACGCGTGGCGAGAATTTTTCGAGAATTCGGTTAAGGAACGCGTGAAAAATCAGTGTGTATCGAGTTCTCGCGAAGTGTGGCCATCAAGCTAGCAGCTGTCCTTAGGCACGTACCGTCTTGGCACGCACGCTATGCCACGCACGATATGCCATGCACGATATGCCACGCACGCTTCCGGTCACTCGAACATCATTGCGTCCACGTGTTCGCGGTGATACCAAAGACGGCAGCTGTAATCTTCCAAAAAGTTGGGAGAACGTGACTTGGCGTTTCTATGGGATGATTGAAAGTTAATGTCTTTTCTTGAAGTTATGCGTTTTATCAAAAAGACATTTTGGAATTATTCTTATGTAAAAAATATATATTAATGTATTAATACATATTAATGATCAAAAAAGAAAAAAAAACATCTAAAAACATTTTTCATAAAAATGTTGCTCTTTTTCTTTGTTAAAACTAAAGATTCGTTTACGTACAAGTCACCCTATATATATATGTATATACACTATATATTGGTATCTACGTTTATACAAGGGTAAGAAAGAGACGACATAGACAAAGACAAGTACAGAACACCGACTAGAACGACGACGACAACGAGACGCCTTGACATTTGCCAGGTCGCTACTTTGTCAGTGGATTTATAGAGCGGATTCCTCGACGAGGGTGACCGCTGCATAGTTTATCGTCTTCCGGTCCTACCAATTGCCCTTCCGCGCGGCCCTCGTCCGATACTTCCTTTCGTTACGTTCAACGTTCCATTGATCGATGCCACGACGTCCCTTGTCACGAGCTCTTCTCTCTTTTTGCCTCCTACTATTTTATATCTATTATGTACCTATCTCCATTATGTAATATTTCTATTACTAACATTTCGATATTATCATTTTTCTTCTTCTTCTTTTTTTTTCTTTTTCTTTTACTTCTTAACGACCACCGAGATATCATTCGTTTTCAATCGCGTTCGTTAAAAGAAAAAATTTCATTTTGAAATAACTGACGTGTGAATTAAAACGATTATGAGATATTATCCGAGCGAATGGACGAGGTGAACAAAATGTAACGGTTAGATACGCAAAGGGTAGACATATGACAATAAAGGCCGATCCGTACGTTGTACGTCGATGAACGATGACTTTGCCTTGATAAATAACCTGTTGATCGCTAGAGACGCGGGAAGGATACAAGCGAGGTCACCTTTGCCGATGCTATACTAAAAACGAGAATAAACGAGCGGGGTGTAAAGTTTCACCGAGATCGTGAGATATTACTTCATATATACAAAATAAATGTAGACACTTATTGAACCTATATTCCTAATGTTCCTAAAGTAAATCAAATGTCCAATCTCTTTAAATTACATCGATAAATAATCCAAGTGTTTTTAGCTAAGGAAAAGTTGTCAAAAAACTTTTTGATCGATTCGACCTCGAGATATAAGGAAGAATATAGACAAAATGAATGAGATACCTAGAAGGTATCCATAGCAAATCCAAGCAAAGGGATCAAATTCCTTAACAAGAAAGAGAAAGAGAGAGAGAAAGTGTTTGCAGAGGATACCCCTCTTCTCTAATGTACTACAAACTACAGTCGCATGCAATAGCTAATGGGCTTGACATACTGGACTCAGACATAAAAGGTCGAACTCATAGAGGAGAAGAAGGAGTCTACGTTTGTGGACAAATCGCTCTCGTCATTCCCATTCCTCGCTATTAATGCAATAAGTAATGACGATAACGAGCTACGCACACCTTTATATAGTTTACCTGACTACGTTCTTACATATATATTATATATACGTATGTATGTATGTTTGCTTTACGACGAGAAGCCGTTTTCTCAGTGATTTTCGCGATGCCTCGAGCACTGCGTTCTCTATCCTTTATAGACTGGTACATAACCGGTACATGTTACAAGATGAAAAGAGAACTTTGATCCTCGTCCCTTCGCATCAACCGTACGTACGTTCAAAGACCTGGATAATCTCTTTTTTGTTTTTTTTTGTTGTTGTTTTTCTGTTCCTTTTTTCAACGAATACTTCTCTAAAATACATTCCTACGTCGACCCACTTTTCTCTATATCTTATTCTCTCTAAAAAAATATTTTTCTTATTTTCCCTATCCAATAAAATCGAGTAACAATTTTTACTTATAAGTATACATCCTTATCAATTTTTATCCATCCTTTCAACGTATTTATTTCTAATTCAAAGATCGAGCTCGTTAAATTCGTATAACTCTTTACAGTTTGGGTCAGCCAAACTCATCGTATACTCCTTCACAAAGAAGAAATCTTGGATCGAGATCAGTGGCGTTCCTTCGTTGGGCAAGATAAAATTTCTACGCGACGTTAACGACGGAAGTCCCTTTACCAAACAGCAGAAAGAGCAGAAACAGCAGGAGTAGCAGTAGCAGCAGAACCAACAGCAACAGCATCAACGGCAGCTTACCTCGTTATTAACATTTTCGAATAAGGGTACTTCTTGTAAGGGGAAAAAGAGAGTACGAGCTTACGTGCGGAAGGTATTTCGCTACAGGATTTTAATTAGATGAAGTAAAAGATAAGCTGAAGACGCTACAGGAGCGGAAAGTAACGATATCCTTACTACTACGCTCCTGCTCCTGCTGGTGTCCGTGCTTCCCAACTAACTTCGTGCTATCGGATTTTTAATATCTTCCAAACGATATCTTTCGAAACGTCTTGGCCTGAGAAAATGTCGAAAAAAATTCGTGCGCGCACCTTCGCTTACAGATAAGTAACGAAATTAATTAAATCGTGCTTTATCTGATTTTTTTTCATGAGAACCTACCCCTTTTATATTCGTTCAAACAAAAAGACGACGTTCGGATCGATTTTTTTTATCTCCATTACAACATACTCTACTTAGAAATTAGAAAATAAATGAGATATTACAAATTTTTAACACTTCATCTTTCAACGAAAATCAAGAGAAAGAGAGAGAGAGAGAGAGATCAATCACTAAAGTTAACCGTTCCTTTCGAGCGAAAAGAAAAGAAAGATATCGTACGCCTTTCGCGTAAAGAAGTTCTCTTTCATTTGACTCGTAAAAAAATCTTTTGAAGATCCTTCATGGTTGGCGTATCAACTATGTAAAAAAAAGTGATAGATAGATAGATAGATAGATATAAAGAGAGAGGGAGAGAGAGAGAGAGAAAAAGAGAAAACGGTTGGTAGCTTTACCGTCGACTATCGGAGTACTATTTTGATCTCCAACATACTGACGCTTCTCTAAAAGAGTTGGGTCTCTCAAAAGATAGTCTAAAGTGAAAAGAGAGAGGTTTGTGGTGAACGACGTGCGCTTACTGTAACAAACCTTAAAGATTTTTGGTGTGTGAGAATAGGCTCTGAAATATATATGTACATATATATATATATATACACATATATAACTACTTGTGATCTTTCGATGCCTGGAAGGGAAAAAATTTGTCTCTGTCTTTCTCTCTCTCTCTCTCTCTTTCTCTCTCTCTCTCTCTCTCTCTCTCTCCCTCCTTTTCTTTCTCCCCATTTTTCTAGTCCTTTCACGCGTCGTCGAAACGTACATAACACGAAATACTTTGATCGTTGCTGAACGTGCTGCTAGCTAACCACATAGTCGATAAGACTCGATCCGGATGATCTCCCTTTTTACTAGTATAGTGTCTTCTCTCACCTCGAGGCTAAGCAGGTGTCTCGTCCGTGCAGCCCTTTTTTCCAAGGGATTCCTACTGTGTATCCAACATCGTGATACTCTGAGTGGCCAAAGATGTTTCTTCTTGATGCGACATCCTTGCGTCGTTGACCTCCCCTCTGCCACATGGCGTTTCGCATATGGCGCACGATCTACCGAACTCGAGTCTCGCTTATTTATTTTCTACTCGCGCACTCTCAGCAAAAGGAGAGGTAAAGAGAGAAAGAGGGAGAAAGAAAAACGAAGAAAAAGATGGTGCCAAGGGCGAGATCGTAACGCAAGCCGACAGATTGTAATCGGTTGTAATCGTCGAAAACTGGACACGTGCAGCTGCGATCGATCCTAAAGAAGAAACGTGGCTTCCTTTTCTTTTCTTTTTACTAAAAACTTCGGAGTTCTTTCGGAACAGCCGAGACTCGTGCCTGTTGCCGTCGATATCAGAGCTCTGCTAACGTATAGAATAAATAGATATGCATAGATTATTTCAAACTCGTACGCTTCGATGCTCCTAACTCTCAGTTAAGTAGACGAAGGAGTTTATGCACATGAGAATCGAAGGAAGTTGGGAAATTGAAAAAAAAATAAAAGAAAAAAGCAGGAATGATCATAAATAGGGTCTTTCTTTCGATCATGGCCAAAGTGCACACTTTTTTCTAGTAGAAATAAAAGTAGTTTAATCAGAAAACTGCAGGGGAAGAGCTCGCACGAGACGGTGGATCGTAAGTACCCTCCATTGGCCGGGATGTAGGGGCATTTAAGTAGATAGAGGGTAAGTATAGACGCAACCCCGTCTCTCTCTCTCTCTCTCTCTTAGTCTTACTCTCACTCTGTCACTCTCTCACTCTCTCTCTCACTCTCTCTCTCTCTCACTCTCTCTCTCTCTCTCTCTCCAACATCCTCATGCTACTCTTGTCTACTCCATTTGCTTCTAGCCCGAGGGACCGTCTCGATATATATCCCAATATTCTCCGTAACAATGATGAATCACTGCGAAGCAAGCTCGTTGCGCAAGAACTTGCACTTTGGGAGTTACGTTTCCAGCAGCATACACTGTCTCCTTCGCCTCGAAATTCGCGAACGGGCCCCGGGATATCTCTTTTTCTTTTCCTTTTTGAAACACGCTCACGTAACTTCTGACGTAAGAACGAGTTAAATAGGCTGAAGATGTTACTCCATTATGGGAAGACGTAACATACTTATACGTGTACGCCGATCAGTTCGTAATAATTTGAGTACTTAATATAATACATTGTCTGGATTATGTAAGTTTCAAGTGGAAACAAGGCACACGAAGATCGATCTAAGATAAGAAATACAAATTTTTAAGTATAATTACGTAGCGTGAGAAGAGATTATAAATATGGGTAAGCGATAAATTTATATATATATATATATACAATAGTATTAGTAAGTGGTAACTAAGGAGAGAAACGTTAACGTATAGAAAAGATAAGAAAATATGAGGAAAGTGAACAGCTGCTGAAACGATCGGTGCCACGGGCAATTTCGACTCGGTGTCGCGTATAACGTTCATAGGAGGAAGGATCAAGAAGGAAATCGACAACACGGCGGAACTCTTTCTTCCATGGAAAACGATATCCACAGAATTGGAAGGAATGGCATTGCCTAAGGTGAGTACCGCTTTCGAAAGAATCGACCGTTCGAGTACAATACCCGATCGTAGATGGGATAATAAAAGAGGATCAGTTGGCCGCAAGATCGATATATACTTTAGTCGACGAGTGGTGGCAAAACTTATACATTCTTTTTACCTACTTTGTATCGTTAGCTTTATTTCGGTTAACCGATAGAGAATTAAGGTAGATCTTTTTCCTTCTATAGCCTGAGAATCGTCCGAACAGTGTCTCGTTGAAAATAATCTATCGATTATACAATTTTTCTTACTTATAAAACTTATTTTATCTTAGGTAATAAATCGATAGATCGATAAACCAATTAATTATGTACATCGAAAACCTTACATATCATAATGGCTAATAATGACGAATCCGTTCGCAATGAATACTACTAGTACGGTGGTGTAACCGATGGATCGACTTCCTATTAATAAATTCGCTTCCCATGCGACGTCCTATGAATCATTCCATAGGCAACGGGGGAAATTCTATTAGTCCGATTGGTTTACGCCTCCGTGCTATGGTCCCAATCGATTCGTCTTCGTTCTTGGGGACAACTGGTACAGCAGATATGCAACCACCCTTCGATTATATTTTGTTCGACCGAACGACGGCACGTTATGCCAATGATAATAAACGCACGAGGCAGAAAATCGCTAGTTCGAACGAACTGCTATCGCTAAATTGTATCAACCTTTCTAATTGGAATGCTTTTTATAAATCGAATCATAGTGATTTGTTAGAGAGCCAAATAAATGTGAGTAATACGTACATATCTGAAATACGAGAGATCGTTGTTTCTCGTTTCTACGGAGAATATAAATAATGTGTCTTATCGCTACGAAGGCTTGGAAAGGACTAACAATAAGTTCGACATTGGAAGGATCTGCTAAATGATAACCTGTACCGAGAGAGAGAGAGAAGGTAAACATTATAAACAAATAATATACCTTAGCCGATTATATACGTATTCTCAAAGAATACATTAACATCTCAAGGACAGTGAATAATACCTCTTCACGATCGTATCAATGTTAATAATCGATTTCTTCTAGAAATATTTTTCAATACATACATATGTATGTTTCTTTATATCCTCGAACTATCAAACGCAGATTGTAATAAACGTGGTATGGACAGGTCAATTAGCAACGTATAGATGCAAAATCCTCATTCATTATCTTACATAATCTATATCTCCGAACAAGCAGACGCATTAGGAGCGAACGAGAGAGAGAGAGAGAGAGAGAGAAAGAGAGAAAGAGAGAGCTAATTGCAAGGTCCCTATTAGGAGAACTATCTGCTTACTAATCTGGTCACTTAGAATGCGATCGATAGAGATCGTTGTGATTGTAAGACGAGAGAGACAGAGAGAGAGGGAGAAAGAGAGAGAACTATGAAAGTCAGAGAAGATAACAAAAATTAGTTTGACTCAAATTGGCCAAAAGGGTTGCACTTAATTTACATAGAGATTTCTTCGAAGATCTCGAGCAGCTCGAAATCCAGCAATTCGACTCGGTTTAATCCTATGGCCGTCGACATTAATGCCGGAAGTATTTAGTCGTCGATGAGGCAGAATGAGCCCCTCGCTCAAGAAGGGTGGAATCTACAGGTCTCGGCAAAGCTGTAATTCTCATAACTTGAAAATCAGAAGGCTCTCGTACTCGCGAACGGTAACTGGCTCGCGTTAAATCATACTTCAGCCTTGGATAGGATTAACTCCCCTAATTTATTGACTCTATTTCCAGGGTGCGTAACCCCGTGGCTCCGAGTTAACAACGTTCCACAAGAGAATACGAAGAAGAGAAAAGGAGGGAGGACCATAGCGTAACCATACATCGGCACGAAGAGATTAAACGTTAAAAGGCACGTTGCGCCTGTCAGAAATCGGACTCAATCCTCAAACACTCCTCGGTGCACCCCTCGGTTCTAAAAATTACACACGAATCTAAACGGATATTGTCAAAACATACGATATATCTTTTATTGTACCTATTAAGATTATCCTCTCAAAAGATTTTGGAATCTTATTCATTAGTTCCTTGAATCATTACGATTCTCTATTTTCTATAATTTGGAAAGTACTCCCTCTATCCATTTCTATCTCTCTTAAAGCATAGCCAAAGGATGATCGAAGTAAAGGAACGTACGTTCGGATATCCATTCGTTACACGTCCAGAGAACGTATTTCTCGTGGTAGATCGAAGGAAAAGGAGAAATTACCTCTAGCGTAGATTCAAGGGAAATTCTCCTTTCCGTATGTTTCATACCTACGTCGAATTTAAATGAAAGCATAGCGTGACGTGCTGTGTGGCATGGCGTGACATGGCGTGGAAATAAGCTGGTAGGAGTAAAAACCCTATTTACTCGTCCAACGGAGAATTTCCCTCAGCTCACCTACAACCTAGTACATATCTTCTCTCTAGACCTTCTCGTTCCTGGATCCTCTCCAATTAAGGATAGAAGTCAAAGTTAGGAAGATTAGTTGAGTGATGTCTCGTCCGGCAAAGAGTATCCACTTGCGTTCCCTTTGTCTGTTGGAAAACCGATTTCTCGTTCCATTAATGAACGTCTTTGCTCCCTCATTCGTTAACTCGCTCGCTTGCTCGATCTCAACGGCGTACGATGTAAATGGAAACGCGAAGACATTGAAATGAAATTTACGCGATATCGTGCTACGTCCGGATGCACGGTCCTTAGACCAAAATTACATCTAATTGAAATTAAACGAAAATCCCTTCTTAAGTATATCGAAAATTAATTTTATATCAAACGTAAGATAACATAATGCATATATTTGCATCATAGAAAACTATATATTTATATGTATATTTGTGGATAACGTCAGTTACGTTAAGAAAAATTATCTTTCATCTTTTTATCGGGATCGTTAAATATAATTATCCTATGGTTATGTCGTACTTACACGAACACGAAATATATCCGAGAAAGAGAAAGAGAGAGAGAGAGAGAGAGAGAGAGAGAGAGAGAAAACGATGCGATGTAATTCGAATTTACTGTTAGAATCTCTTTCTTGTCATTAATTCCCGTTAGCAACGTTTGTCTCGGGCGCGTGTAACCCTGCTTAACCCTGTACAACATAATGGATCATACTTGGCAGCACATACCGGTTTTCCTTTATCCTTTTCATTTCTCCATTCGCCTTTTATCTGCGCCCCACGACACATGACGTTGTAGTATGTAGGTATGGCGTATGTACCTGTTGGTCCTACTACCAGGTTACCGAGTGCGTTCTGTCCTCTGAAATGAAATGCATGCATGATTTAAGCGAAGTTTATAACGAGCTCCTAATGGGAAAGCAATTTGTTGCTAAAGTATGTTTCTTTTGGCATATATAGGCTCTGTTTTCTGCCGATCGTAAATCATAAGTAATGATATCTAAAAGGACGATGACTATGAGGATGAGATCTTATCGGAGGAAGTCGAAGGGGCTAAAGAACCTAAAAATATTCGATATCGTAAGACGTAATTTATTCATATGCGAAACAAAAGTCATCCATAGAGATATGTCGCTGGTATTACGATGTAACCACGCGCGCGCGTACACGTTTACATATCATCGATATATAATAATATTAATATCTTTGTCGTTCGTTAATGATATAAAAATCGTCGTTTATGTGTTATATATTTAGCTATACGCCAGTTAATCCTCTTCGTGTTTCACTTCTTTTATTTTTATTTTTCTTTTTTTTTTTCTTTTTTATTCTTCTTTTTCTTTTTTTTTTTTTTTCTTTCTTTCTTTCTTGTTTTAATTAGGAAGCAAGCACATACGTATTTATGTACAGAGTAGTAGTATTCATCAGGTTACTGTAATACTTATTACAATAATATAATGAGTATACTTCGAGAGAGGCGTATGTAAGAGATATCGAATAAAAATGACATCGTTATAATCGGCAGATTCTCAAAGAGGAAAAGTAGCCGTTCGTTCGTTCGTTCGTCGTTCGTTAGGATTAGGACAAATCCAATGTTCGTTTTCCTTTCATCGTACATGACGTTTCGCAATACGAAAATTTCTTTGTAGAAACTCGTCCAAGAGGAGGTACCGTCTCGAAGTACACCCACATCGCCTTACGTCGATGCTCACGTTTGACAAAATAAATACTGGGTTCGATTCCTTTAAAAAATATATATTACAGTATTGCACTTAAGGTAATTGTACACGATAAAACGCGTCAAAAATATATATAATGAGTTCCTTTACTGAGGCACTAACGACAAGGAACACAGAAGTGTCATGTTAGTGTTAAGCATGCCGTTTAGTGCATTTTCCCTTTGAGACTTTGCACTTGTGAAAGAGATTCTAGCTAATA